CCGGTTTTTATTGAATAAAGGCATTGCCACTATTATTTTCAGTTGTATATTTATGTGTCTAATATAAACTAAAAGATGATAAAGTTCATATAATAATATGATTATGAAAGATCATTATTCAAGTATTATTATGGGCATGAACAATAATAATAAGTTTAAGACTAACATAGAGTTGTCATTGGCATAAAGATGTCAAAATCCATACATGAGAATGTTGTTAGAGAACAATATATTGGATTGACCTGTTATGAGCATGTGTCTTGGATTATTATGTGACAGTCACAACATTTCTTCTAGTGATGACTACATGTATAATCATCAGACTTGAGATCATTACTATCTCAACTTATATTGTTGTATGTTTTGATACAATAAAACATGCTCTGTAACTGGTTACATTATAAAGACTAAAATTAAACATATCACGATATATGTAGTGAGATGTGAATGATCAAGATATGATTTGTCATTTTTACATAATAAGAAATATATCACAAGCCACTTGATTGAGTGTGAGTGAGACTAGAAATGCATGACCATGCTCAGACAAGTTAATATGAGATATCACAAGTTGTTCATTTAATTTTAGTCTACTCTAGATATAAAAAAACGCTATATGTGCTACACAAGTGTGATTATTCCAAGACTTGTGCCTATTATGGATATAAATGACAAAAGGATATAATACATAAAGAAGTTATTCAAGAAGAGGTTATGTCGAATCATGACTTATTGTAACTTAGATGACAATGATACATTGCTAGATGTCACTCATTGTTTGTAATATAGAATGGTTCTAATATTACTACTAACGTTACAGAAACCTACAGGGTCACACCTCAGGGTTGAGATGAGCAAAAGAGTTATACATAACAAAAGAGTTATACATGTACAATAGAAAATGCATTACTGATATATATATATATATAGTAATTATACTAAACATGCTAAATAAAATATTATAAGGATATAATTAAACTAATTATATATCTTTTAATAAAAAAAATTCAGAATTAGAACCCTAAGGGTTAGGGCAACAACATTATAAAAAGAAAAGAATGGCCTAACAACCATTTTTACTCTTTACACATTTTCTCAAAACAGTTTTGGGAAAATAGAAGATTTGCTCTCAACCAGGTGAACTACGTAGAGGTCGAGACGCTTTTTCATGGAAGCTTAATATTTGATATGTTCGTGAAAGGTTGTTGATTTGTTGTTATTCCAAGAACCCGAGGTTAATTTTTGTATCTCTTCCTCTTGATTCTAATTTTTGTAATTGGATCACTGATGAGACCGTCGGAATAATTTTTTTCTGCACCATGGGGTATAACTGCAGTCCCAACACTTATTTCACTCCATAATCTCGAGCATCCTTTACGGACCAGACTATCCAGGGCAAGGACCTTGAGTTTACACTTTTCTCTTAAGATTGTTGAGAATTAAGATCAAATGAATAACATCTGATATTACTATTATGCTTCACGTGCAACTACATCACAACCAGCTTATATAGCTGCTATGACTTCAAGCTTACTCAATCTCTTAGCTTCCTATAACAACATTCATAACAGAATCCAAAACGTCCCTATCCTTAACAACCATAACAACTCACACACACACTCAATGCACACATTAACAGTGCATGCACACATTACACGTTAACAATGCATATTCTAGAATGCAAATGTATATTCTGGAATGTATATTCCATAATGCATATTCCAATATTCTCCCTACTCTTTTCCTTCTCCTTGAGTAAATGAGAAAATTTGCACTTTGGGTCGAAATTGCTCAAACGAATATTTGGACAATGATTTAGTAAATCATCCGCTCTAGTTGAATCGAAAGTGTGATGCTTCCTTCCGTTCTAATTGAATCGAAAGTGCGATGCTTCCTTTCGTTCTTCTTGAATCGAAAGTGCGATGCATCCCTTCGTTCTACTATAGACGAGAATCAAAAGTGCGATGCTTCCCTTCATTCTACTTTATTCACCTTTATTTTCTTCCTTCTTCATCCTTTTACCCAATGTGCCTTTAGATTTTCTGTGAAGCTTTCAAGTCCCATGATTTCTTTGTAGAAAAAGTAACAAATGATGAAAAGATACCACAACAATAAGTTGTTTTTAAACAGACCATGACTATTGAAGAGATCACCAAAACAATACCATTGTTCTCAACCAAATTAACTCGCTTATACCAATGAACAAGTATTCAACCAACCATCAGCAGTAACCAATTCAGTAAAAGTCAACAGAACAAGACTCAGAAAGAGGAGTATGCACGTCTATGCAACAACTAAATCACTACATCAGAATTCTCACATGTTGCTACTCTGCTCAAACTCACGCTAACTTTGATTTCTTACTTGAATAACGTCCCAAATGCAAGAATCCAATCACCAAACCAGATTTGATTAACCATTGTGAATCACCAACACAAAACTAATCTCAATAAAGCATGAATTGCAACAGTCGCCAGAAAACATGAAGCGATTACGATAAAACTCTGACGTAGCAAACCATCAAATTTGTAACACTGCCAATGAACAACCAACTGGCGTCAAGGAACCAGATTCAGATATGAGATTCAGATATGAAATAGAGGAAGTTCGACTGGTGAATCGATGAAGATAACAAACAATTAGAGATCTGATGAACCCGAAAAACATATAAGATATTTGAGAGCAATTTTACAATAGTGATGACAAAAGCATCATCAACAAGAGCGGCAAGAGAATAGCAGGTGGATACGATCATTAACAGCGCTGGAAACAGTCACAATAGCACCAACGAATTCCAAGCATTGGGAGAAAACATTGTCACTACCGAACTCTCACAAACAAAACGTCGAACAGGTAGTAGATGATTCCAAATAAGATCATAAATGATAAATGCACGACAAAGCCATCATTGTTTAACTCAAAATTCTTCAATACTTATGTTAAAGAAAAACTGGTGATAAAAGAGACAATCACCTCATGATGCGATACTTGCGGCAGAAAAATAAGAAGAAACAGGTGGTGCTAGCGATGACAGCAACATCATTCAATGAAGAACAGAAGATGAAGAAAAACACGGATGAAGAAAAACAACTTGAAAAAAGGTAATGGAGATAACAGTGGCGAAAGAAAGGTACGGCGGAAGAAAGGCTTCAGGATCTTTAGCTCTGATACCATGTTGAGAATTAAGATCAAATGAATAACATCTGATATTACTTTTATACTTCACGTGCAACTACATCACAACCAGCTTATATAGCTGCTATGACTTCAAGCTTACTCAATCTCTTAGCTTCCTATAACAACATTCATAACAGAATCCAAAACGTCCCTATCCTTAACAACCATAACAACTCACACACACACTCAATGCACACATTACACGTTAACAATGCATATTCTAGAATGCAAATGTATATTCCGGAATGTATATTCCAGAATGCATATTCCAATAAAGATACACACCCAAAGATGATCTTTATTGGCTATAAGCTGAAAGTATAATTTCATAATACAAGACTCGTTTTGACCATGGACCATCCTAAGGCCAATATCGCACATATCCAAGGGTCGACAGAGATCCTCCCATTTAACATTGTGCATACCTCGCTTTCCTTCAGTGTCTCGCAATATGAAATTAAAAATCAAACGTTCGATTTCCTCGAAAACTTTCTTTGGGAGATAAACCGTCTGTATAGCATAGGAGGGGATAGAAGCTAAAACCACTTTCACCAGATAGTAGTTACTATCAAGATCAAATAGTTGGAATTGACCTTGAGGTTGCCACAAAGCAGTGATCTTGTTCATAAGGGCCCTAAAGCCAATCGTTTTCCCCAGCAATATGACTATGATCGTTTTTCTTATGTTATAGCCAATGGATTCATGAAGTCTACTTGAAAGTTGAATGACTGGGTAGGATCCGCTTCGATACACTATCACATATCCATCTTGGATCACCACATCATCATCAGTCAGATCCGAAGATTACCAATAAGCGTAGACACATATGTCTTCACAGTTTCCAAATTTTTGGCTTCGCATTGCATCCCAATGAAATGAACATTGCTGTTGGACTCATTCCCAACATCACCCATGGAGATATCATTATCATATAGACCAATGTCAATCATCGCATGCACGTTCGATTCTCCCTCAGCCCTATGTTCCTCTGGAATGGATTCACTCCTAGTCTTCTTCACAATCGGTTGCGAAACAATATCTAACGGTGTTCATAGTCTTTTTAAAGACGAATGAACAACAAACCCGAGGGCCTTACTCATACACATCAATCCTAATCATAAAACATAAAATCCTGAATAATGCAGACCGAATTCTTGATTTGAGTTTTTGTATAATACAACGTCTACTTTAAAGTTTTATTAATTTCATACAAAAAATTATGTATTAATATATATACACACGTTCATCTTTAAAATTATTTTTTAATCTATCTCATCAAGTTAATAGTAACTCGATTAGATACAAGGCATATGATTTTATGCTAAGAGATAAATCTTTAATATTAAAAAATGATGAATTTATAAAATTTTAGGACGAGAATAAATATTCAATAAAAGATATAAAAATATATATATATATAGGGAGACAATCACATTCATCCTTCTATTCCTCCATGCTTAGATTACATGGAATTGATGAAAATGAAGAGGTGAGAGGGGATTCAATAAGAAGAGTTGGACACATTTTTTTTGGATAAAAAATTAATATAGAAGAGACAGTTATGAAATTTTATCAAAGTGGTTAAAACATTAATGTAAAACAGAAGCCAAATTTAGTACAAACAAGCTCACAGTAAACTAAATATAAAACGATCATCATATTTTCCAACCAATCAATCACTGGCCGTCCATTTTCATAGACCCCCGTATTCAACCGTTTAAATTGCTTAGCCTCATTCAGGCTTCAACTGGACACACAGATTTTCCTATTATTAATAATAAGCTTTACAGTTTTTGATTCGTTTTTTTTTTCTTATTGAATTCTCTCTTCCTCTCTTTGATTTTCCTTCCCTCCAAACGCCATCGCTATAGTTGCCATTTCTGCTTTCGGATTTTTTCTCGCCGCTCTCATTGCTTCACCGGTGATTGATGTTCTTTCACATGACATGTTTCTGAATTTCTCAATGACAAAGGGATTGGTTATTCGTTTCCGGAGGATAATTTTGCCTCCTTTTCCCACCTGTCTCTCAGCCTCCGCGGTAAGCTTCATTCTTCCTAATCCCTGCTCCTCTGTTTCCTACAAATTTTCTTGTCTGTAAGATTTTTCGAGAAAGAATTTCTGAAACGTTTAATGTTAATTTTTAAAGAGAATTAATATATTTCCTGGAAGATTTGTGTAGAAAAACAAAGGAACTTTTGTTACATATCTTTCATTTATGTATTGTTTAATCGTGTTGATTTCAGGAACTTTTCTATGTGATTGAATGATCCAAGTTCTTGTTTTATCGTTTATTTCAGGAACTTTCCTATGTGATTGAATGATCCAGGAGGAATTTATATAGCTGATGGCTGGAGTCAGAAATGAAAGGAGGGAAAATTTCAGAGGATCTGTAGTATTCAAGAGAAAATGAGAACTTTTATATTGTTTTCATTATTTAGAGTAGAATTTATTCAACTTCTAGTAAATAAATAGGTTGCTCGAGTTTGAATGAATATATTGATACATGGAGTTAGAAGTATTTTTGCCTCCAAGAGGTTTGGTAAAATGTTGTAATTGCAGCTGTACTACCTGTGCTTTGATTGGCGCTCCTTCAAATTCCTGGTTTCGGTCTGTGAAGAGAAAATATAATGAGTTTGAGACTGGAAACATGTTTTATTTTCCGGGGCTTGATCTTTATTCCAATGCCCGAGTCCAAATTGAGAATGAATGTGCTGCTTTGCGGGAGACAGTTAACAGCCAACAAGCAACGATAGAGGGTTTGTATTCGGAATTGGAGGAAGAGAGAAGTGCCTCATCTTCAGCTGCAACTGAGGCCATGTCGATGATATTGAAGTTGCAGAGCGAGAAGGCAGAGATCGAAATGGAGTCCAGGCAATTCAAGCGTTTTACCGAGGAGAAAATGTCGCATGAGCAGGATGAGATATTGGTTTTAGAGGATCTGTTGTATAAGAGAGAGCAGACTATTCAAGCTTTAACTTGTGAAGCACAGGCATACAAGCATAGGATGTTGAGTTATGGGTTTACAGAGGAGGAGGTTGAAGGTGAGAAGGATGGACAGATGTGGCAGCCAAGTGTGGCTGAGGACTTCAATGCCGAAGTTGATCTTCCTGCATATGATTATCCTCCTCTAAAGTGCATTTTGAATGGGAATCACGGCTATGGTGTTGAAGATGTTGAAAAATACGCATTTGGTGAGATCCCTCGTTCCCAAGAACACTTGACGAATCTGGAAGAAAGGATCTCCCAAATGGAGAGAAATCCCAATAGCAGCCAGCTGGATGGAGAGATTCCTGGAACAAGGAATGTGTTGGAGAAGGTGGTAGTCGGACACTCTCCTAGGCGCCCAAGACATTCAAGGAGGCATTCAACAGATAGTACAAACTCATTCTTTTCTAGGGAGATGGGTTCAGAGTTTATCAGTGATTCCCCCAAGTTTGCCTTTGGTTCTCCCGGGTATAATACTAGCTTCAAGAAGATGGAGTTAGTTTCAGAAATGGACAAGATTTTGAGCTTACGAAGAATAAATAATGCTTCAGAAGTTGGAGATGATATGAGTGACAGAGTTTATACAATTGATTCTGTCCGTAATGAGGTGCCATATAATGGAACTGCTGAGCACAAACATGGACTCAGAATTTCTGATAACTATGCATCCACTCCAAGGGAGACATTCAATCTACCTGATGTTTCTGATCCTGATCTCAAGAAGCTGTACATGAGGCTTCAGAACCTTGAGGCTGACAGGGAATCAATGAGACAAGCACTGCTATCGATGAGGACTGACAAAGCACAGTTGGTATTATTGAAAGAAATAGCTCAACATTTGTGCAAGGAAATGTCACCTGAAAAACAAGTGGTTGCGAAGCCATCTATTCTTGGAAGCCTTTTCAAGGTAACATCTGCTCACGTAAATTGTTATATTATGGCCGTGTTCTGTTATCGACTTCCTCATGTCTATATTGTTTTCTCTTCAATCTCATGTTGCTTTATTGCTGACCAATTTAGTTTAGTTTCACTACGTTGTCCACTTAATTCTGGCATTATTTTAGGACTGGTATATCAATCATCCGTTGCAGGTTCGAATTTGGGTTGTAATTTATCTGAAATCCATCTTTTGAATGTTAATCTAACATTGTTGGAAGCATCATAAACATAATATGCGGTAATTATTCATCAATAGAGCTCTTCTACTTTTTCCATAATCTTTTGATGGTTTCTTTCTTTCTTTTTTCAGTGGATTGTATCTCCTATTTCTCGGAGGCGGAGAGCACTCCGAAGCAAGTAAGCGAAATAATTATCATCTATCTACTTACTGTTGGGTTGACCAATGTTTTGAAACTGACATATTTTGTCTTCTCCTCTTTATTAATATTTTATCTAATTAATAGAAAGCAATATTTCGTAAAGATTAGCGTTCTTATTAATGCATTTTAAGGCATAACAAAATCAAAATTATTTATTCTGGTGCAGTAAAAAGAATGTAGTCTCTAACATCAATCCTTTAAGGCAATGGCCGTGAAACAATAGAGATACATATTTACTCATGGAGCAAGTACTTGATGTATTTTTTGTTGGATATTGACATTTGTGCAGTAAAAAGAATGTAGTCTTTAATATCCATCGTTTAAGGCCATGGCCTCTAATAGTTGGCCATGAAACAATAGAGATACATATTTACTCAGCAAGTACTTTATGTATTTTATGTTGGATATTGACATTGAAGTTTATAGACATATTATTAAGTTAATGTTGGCGTTTGAAAACTGTTTTTGTACATCTTCTTTAATTATATAGGTACCTGTACGGATTGTCACCAAACAACGTTGGCTTGCTAATGGTTTTAGACAAGGGCCCCCGACTTAGACAGTGGAGATGCCTTTCAAAAACACAAGTGTGAAAGGATGGTGAAAACGATTCTTTGACTTGGATATGTGGATGAAGCATATAATCATGATTGTGAATGCTGAATGGGATTAGCTATCATGTGCTGAGTTAGCATCCAGTTTTTTAATGCAGAATTTGGTATGTTGTGCAGTGTTATTTTATTTCCCTTTTCTATTTTTGGGATTGGATTCTGGCTCATATAGGTTGTTGGATTTCCGTTTGGGGTATTTTGCCCTTAATCCATCTCTTTTATATTTCAAATTCATGTATGCAGTGTTATACTTCTATAATTCAAGCAATTTGTTATTTCCTAAGAGCTATATATATATATATATAAACATTATTTATCTGTATTCTTGTTTCATTTACGTTTTCTTTTCATTATATGTATGATAAGTTTTGTTGTCCGGTAACCTAATTTAAAGTTAAGGAACGACAATGAATGGACGTAACCGAAAATGTATAAAAAGCATAAATAATATTTTCGGTTGAGTGCAACATAAAATGTTAACTTTTTAACAGTTTTGATTGAATCTAAAATATTATGAAGAAGGCCAACCAAAAATGTTATGAAAAGGTTATGAAGAAGTTTCGCAACTGAAAAATATTAAGAAAAAAATATATTGTATTTTCTTAGATAAAAAAGTAAAAGTCTAAAAGATCCTTCGAATTTGGAAAATTGGACAAGCTAATTCCCTTTGGTAATAACCCGATAATTGCAGGTTTGAAATCCAGGCCGATCATGCATACGAAAATGAATATTAAAACAAATACAAAAATCATTAGTAGATTCATAAATATATTTTTTTAGAGTGAACACCATCAATAAAATGAATAATCAACATAAAAGAATCGAATTTTAAAGTATACTCAACCTAGATTACACTTACATGTGTCATTGATAATAATTGAAGTAATACAAAAAGTAATTTTTTAATGAGGAATCAAATTATAACTTTCCGTGTATCATTTTTTTAATATTACAATATAAAAGATTTGAAGTTATAAAGGGTGGTTGTAATTCTTTGAAATCCCGAGTTCGAGCATCAGGAATGTCAGTGGTGTGTGTGTTCAATGTCAAATAGTTAAAAGTTATATTTGAACAGATATTGTTTTGCACTTACCCCATATTAATAAAAATAAATAAAGAAGTTTAAAAATTTATGAGGTGTAATTTTATAAAATTAAACTGAAATATTATTATTGTTGAGGACCAAGGCACCTTGCCCCTCTCTTGGCGCCAACCCTGCTTAAAGAATTGAAAGGGAGATGAGGTGTTGTCAGCTTGCGTGTGATATTTTCGAAACATATACGTACATACATGCATAAGGGGAAGCTTCGTTGTCCGCAGAAGCAGCCAAACGGGGAAACTACCCAAATCACAGCCAAAATCGAAAGGCCCTTGTCTTGGTAACCTCATTCCAACTTGTACGAATCAAATACGGCCAGCTTAGTTGCCCAGGGACAATACGAAAGCCAGTTTAATCAAGTTCCTTGCATAATAAGTTATTCCCCGATCTATGTATATAAAAATATACAATTTATTAATCTTTTTTAGAAATATTTATTGAGAATTTTTTTAAGAAACTTTAACAAAAAATTTGATATATCAACCTATACGAGTCACAATATAAATAAGCTTTACACAAACTTGATCAATGTATCTTGAATCTGGTCTAATGTGTTTCCAAACTTGATTGAACACATTCATATCTCTACTTGATAGTCAACTTACTCTAATATATAAGACGAGACATCTTATTTTTGGGATTTAGACAATATAATAGTCCTAACATGAATTATTCATTCAAAATAATTCTATCCATTAAAATTTATTGAACAAAGCAACTCAAATAATACAATAATTAAGTAAAATACTCACTTCATTAAAACTACAAAGGTCCTAACAAGCAATTCTAAATTGTGGTTCTCATGGCAACCTTTTCCACTTGAACAATTTCATCCATAGTCAATTGTATTGGCTTACCCTTACCATCATCATCAGTAGTGGCTGTCACATCCACTTCGTTGGCCGAGTAGTATTCTTATCGAAACTTTCAATTCAATATTTTCATTCAAGTCTCGTTTAACTCTACTTTGATCCTTTTGATTGTCACTTGGATTCCCCCCTTCACTACTCAAAGCTGATGCGTCACCCTCAGCCTCCAAAACAACCCTTTTTTCTATCCCAACTTTTACCACCATCACCGCTTTTCCCCCGCCATCTTATTAAACCTAGCTCACCCTTCCTCTACTCCTTTCCCACAACAATCAACTATACTATGACCTATTATAGCGCAACCAAAATAGAAAGTCATTAGTCCATGAAATTATCTTGAGCAAACAATTCATATCATGACTATTAAATCGTCTAAACTTTGAAGAGGAAATAGTTTGTCATAATTATATTGGAGAAAGTTGACTCTTGAGTAGAGATATAGATATATATTTGATTGAGTTATGCAACACACTATATTGGATTCGAGATAGATTAATTTTATATCCGTTTATAGATTAAATTCACGTGTGACGTTGAAAATACATTTGCCCCCATCCAAAGCAAACGTAGAACTATATTTTCGTGACTTGCATGCTTTGAAAGATTAAGGACTAATCTGTCTAAAAGTAGAAAGCTGATGGTTGACATGTTAAGTATGCAGCTTATACATGATATAAGTGCATTTATAGATATGAAATTATAACCTGATTAAAGATACAAAGTATCTCAACTATTTGATAATGAACGTTAAATCACTCATGCTACAATCGCTGGTGTTCGAACCGTAGATTTTAAGAAATAACAATCATTCCTTTAATTACTGAGGTAATTTGGTTCATGCAAATGATATACATGTTAAATTACAAACAATAGAATAAATTATATATCAAAAATAGATTGCATAAAATTATTTAGGGTAAACTACATATTTAGTACCTAAACTATCAGTTTTGATCTATTTTAGTACTTAAACTTTCATTTTTTTTCAAAATCATACCTAATTTTTAGTTTTTATTTCATTTTAGTACCCCTACTATTAAAAAGTTAACACGTTTGGTACCTAAACTATCAATTTTGATCAATTTTGGTAACTTTCAATTTTTTTAAAACTTAATGTTAAATTTTGACAGGGTATTTAAAAAAAACTAAACCATAGGTATGATTTTGAAAAATTGAAAGTTTTGATACTAAAATGGATCAAAACTGATAATTTAAGTACTAAACAACTAATTTACCCAATTATTTATTGACATCTTCGAGACTAACAAAATGTCAATGACTTCAATGGAGCCTATACTGTAACTAACAAAATGTCAATGACTTCAATAAAGCCTATACTGTAACCTACAAGCAACATCAAACAATACGAATGCCAAAAATACAAACCCACAATGAAAGCTTAGAAAAATCATACTCACTTGGGCTAAGTTGCGACACAAAGTCTTTAAAAGTTAAGAGAAACCCATAAAGATCCAATGACATCTTCGGTCTTATCCTCCACTGTTCCAAATTTTACTAGAAAGAAATTGTCATTCACTGCTGAGAATTCCAAGTTTTTTGGCCTAATACCGAAGGTCCAAAAATTATTTAGCATAATAGGTCACTTCAAATTTTATTTTGCAATCTACAACAAATGCTACAGTACAGGGGAAACTCATCACCTCGGAAAGACGAGTTCGATTGGATATATTATTTTAATGTTTTCAGTTAAGTGGGTTCCATGTGAACTATTATTTTAATATATTTAACGAGATTCGTCACCTTAAGATGATGAGTATCTTTAATTTTAAAAAATTTATTTTTAAAATTAATTAAATAATTTTAAAAATAAAAAAACGTTACATGACGAGTTCAACTGAATTAAAAAAAAACTAGTCGTTGGGCAACGAGCAACTACAACGATCAATTGTGAACAGTCACCATGAAACTCATCACCTTGAGGTGACGAGTTCGCTCGGATTTAATTAAAAAATATTAATTAAATAAATAATATTGACGAAAAGGTAAATACATAATAACTTTATTACCAAAAAATAATAAAATAGTTGTTACAAACTAATACATACCTAGTAAATTTATTTATATTTCCGAAGTTCTTAATGATGTGGAGGAGTGGTCGAATGATTATGGCACAGGGCTCGTTGAGTACGTTGGGGTCATTCGCCTTGATTGTCTTTGTCTTTTTCTTCGTTTACTTCTTGAAGATGAGGTGTGTTGAACACACTCTGAGATCTACCTTCAAAATACAATGACGGGATACTTAAGGTGCTTGACCATCACCAGCATATACCAGCATATATGATATGATCGCATTCACCCTCACCAGCATGTTCTTCCTATTTACTCTCACCAGCATATTCTTCAGGTGTCAAAGTTACTTATTGAATCTCGTTGAGTTCGTTGGGGTCATTCTCCCTCACCAACATGTTCTTCCGGTTTCGTGAGATATAGTTTCCTATTTACTTCATAATTTCAGAGATAGAGAGAAAGGTCGAAATCTAGGTTAGTAGGTGTAATCTCATAACGTATGGGTACCAATAAATGACGATGATTCCATTGCTTAATATAGATAGTGTGCTTCCTAGGCCAATTTTTAGTATGCTTCTCATGCGTATCAATTCTATGAAACACGTCCATATCAAATATTTGAGTAGGAATTGGTTGATGAGACGCAAATTGTCGCAACATTCTATCTGTGACGTGCATTTCAACAATCACAAAGTGTAATAAAGGCGTTATGACACACCATAACTCTGACTCATCAAAAATCCCGATAACAGTAACCAGTAGATCTCTTCATCAGAATACAGAAGCCAAGAAAACTGTAAACATTAGTTATAAAAGTTAGTATATATAAAGTTAAAAAATTTCAAAAAAAATAATAAAATAACTAATATAATGTAGTTGAATATTTACCTTATGTCAACCAGCGATATCGATCCTCATTCAGTTATCTCTTTTAGTTGCACACGACAACTTGGTCTTGGTTATCTTATGATGCCATCTAAAAAATATAAAATTAAAAATTAAAAAACACAGAAAAAATAAATTAAAAAATTTAGTTAAAAAATAAAGTTAATAAATGACCTTGCAGTCAGATGAAACTCTATCAAGGTTGGTGTAACTAGCGTAGAAAAAGGGAATTGATACCAAGCCCAAGACTATAACAATAATAGACAGCCTACTACATCAACCTTTTGACCCTTTTCGACAATTGTAACCTTGCAAAACTTCCTGTATAGAAAAACCAAAATCGTCAAGCCCCA